TTTTTTATATTTTTCCCCCACTCAAAAGAACCTTTTTGTACTAATATTATCATCTTTAGTATTGTTGCCCATCCTGCAAGTCCGCTTATGTTTGTAGCCGCTGTCGTGATTTGTACATTTGACGTTCAAGGCGTCGCCGCCTCACAGTTTTCTTCTTCCCAGTCGCATTTGATGTTCAAGAGGTCTCTCAACGCTCGCAGTTCGCACTTCATTGGTTTTCCATAGTTCGCACTTTGCCAGCTTATTTGAAGAGGTTCCTACTACTCCACTTGCTATATTTCTTGATTCTATTTTTTCCTTACCTACATATTGAAAAATTGCTAGTATATCGTTTGAGAAATGATAAGTTAGTTTAGATTTTTGTTTGGTTACAAGTTGGATTTAACTCAAGTAGGATTTGGTTAATCCTGCAAATTGTAAATTCAGATTTTATAAATCTAGAGAAGATTAAAACTTGAAAATTGCATGACATGTCAACAATTAAATTCTTGATGAATGGCCTTGCTTATATTTTCTTAGATTTTCATTGTACTTCTTTTTGGTTAGATTTTTTTTGGTTTGGTTACAAGTTGGATTTTAGATCTTGTATTTTACTTATAATGAAGTTAGAATGATGCTCTAATGGTAAAGCCTTAAACCACCATTTAAATATATGGGAAAATCAAATGATTGTACAAGAGCTCACCTCAAGTTCTGAGATGTTCATTGCATTTCTTTTTGTTCTTGTTTTAGAAATGGAATGATTTTTTAAGTGAAAAGAATATGTCGAGATTGATATTAACAATCTCTCTGCTGACCCTAGTCTTCGACCATCAATCTGGAGTTATGATGTGAATGAGCGTGATAAAGTTCGTAGAGCTTATTTGTTGAATGGATTGCATTAACCAAAAAATCATCATTTCCCTCAAACAATGATAGGAAATATTGCGTGTGGCCCATCATTTTCATGTTCATAGGCCGTCGGAATCAGCTCTACTAGGGTTTTTTCCCTCCGTGGTGAAACCCGTTTTGCCTTGCTCGTGCCTTCCGACGACGTCTCTTCGTTCAGGGAAGTGATTTGTCTTTTCATTTTGTGTATTCCTTGAGTTTTTGTGCTTTCTCGTCCCTTCTGTTTTCGATGGCTGGTAAGTGCTTAGTGGATGCAAGATTTCTTGATGGCAAAACAACTTCTAAGTCCTTTCGTGATGTTTTATCCGGTAACGTCTCTTCATTTCCTGACCTAAAAATCACTACTCACCGTGGGCTTCCCTCTTTGTGGATTTCTGAGGCCGAGATTCTTTTGATTGCCGTGTCATTTGATTTCGCTTTGGTTGGGAAATTTCCTACCCACCAACCTTCCCTTCAAGCTATTCAAAAAAAAAAAATCAACCTTAAACTTATCGGTGATTTCTCTATTATGGTGCTCAATCTGAAGCATATAACAACAACATCAAGCCTTTGTCCCACTACGTGGGGTCGAGTAAATGAATCCTTTTTCTCCATCGTGTCCAGTTAAAAGTCAAATTCTCATTTAAATCTAATAAAGAAAGATCATTTCTAATATTTTCTAACCAAGTCTTTTTATGTCTACCTCTACCTATCTTAACATAAGTCAAATCTAATACCTCAACTTTTCTGATTAGGTCATTGGAAGGCCTCAGTTTAATGTGACCAAACCATCTAAGGCGACTCTCTCTAATCTTATCTTCCACAGGAGCTACTCTAATCTTTTCATGTATATGCTCATTTCGTATCCTATCTCTAAGGGTCAGGCC